TAGTGTCCTGTCTAATACCAATTTTAATACAGGGCCAAACCATTTTATTTGTTGTCTTCATATACAGTTCAGTATTGGTTGTGTGCTGACTCTCCTCCTGATATCATAGTTGTCAAGTCGATCTTTCTTCGTTACACCTAACATAGTATGTAAGCATTTCATTTCTGCAGTGACTATTTTCTTTCTGTCTTCTGAAGACAGTGTCTATGTTACATTGACAGCAAAGCGTTTGTAAGAATATTGCGTTCAATAGTGTTTTTTTACTGTTGATATGCACATGCTTGTATTTCAAAACTGGTGCCAGTTGGCCCAAAACTTGATTGGCCTTATTATATCTGTGTTGGATTTCTTAATTAATTCATCTTGAGATTCTTGGGTAGTCTTTTTTCCTTCTACTCGATTCATGAGATCTCTTCATTTTCTGCGAGCACTAAGTAAGCCGCTGTCGGTTTGCTGGGTCAGTCGGTGTTTTCAAACTTCCTAGAAGGTCACACTTGAACTAGACTATCACATTTAGACTAGTTTAACACAACTTCCTAGAAGGTCACACTTGAACTAGACTATCACATTCAGACTAGTTTAACACAACTTCCTAGAAAGTCACACTTGAACTAGACTTTCACATTCAGACTAGTTTAACACACCTTCCTAGAAGGTCACACTTGAACTAGACTATCACATTTAGACTAGTTTAACACAACTTCCTAGAAGGTCATACTTGAACTAGACTATTACATTCAGACTAGTTTAACACACCTTCCTAGAAGGTCACACTTGAACTAGACTTTCACATTCAGACTAGTTTAACACACCTTCCACTCTAGGATGTCCGAAACTGACCCCGGTTAGATGCTGGCCGAAAAATAAGCATCCTTTTTTTGCTTGCCATCTTGACCGGAAATCCACTAATCACACTTAATTCCTTGCTTGATGTGGACGTACTGTGGTAAATGTAGGCTATTTCTCAGCAGACTTTAAACCACTTGTCAAACAAAACCGCACTTCCAGCTTTACGGCAGATACCACACAACTAGTTAGTCTGTTGCTGGTAAAAATCACCCAAAAGTTCTTATTGTTGACCAATATTTATCTCACAAATACACAACTGTTCACTTTTCTTCCCAGCAACGGACAAAGACCACAAAAACTGTCAAAACATTAATCGGCACTTCTCCGAAAGACGAAATTATCGAGGTTAAAAACAAACCCTAACAGGGCCTCAATAATATGTAAAATTAGGATTTATTTCCGGCACATATGGCAGGCAGGCTATCAGCTCCGACACGGATTAGCAATAATGTTTTACTGATTGGTGGCGTGGCAGCTGTAGATATTCTTCGCCCTAGTGTTAGGTACAGGGTTGGGGCTAATTATATTTTACTTTCCAGTTGTCAATAGTTATAATAGATGACCGATAGAGGCCCTGTTAGGGTTTGTTTTCAACCTCGATAATTTGGGATCGTTTTTCGGCGGAGTGTTCATTAATCCGTGTTTCCACGCCAGATAAATGTCCTCTTTGGTTAGACTGGTTTACGTTAACGTTCTTTTGCGTTGTAAAAATTGTGAGTTGTTGTCCATGTGTTAAGTTCTGTCGGTGACCCTTTGCCCTTCAGTCACTGTTTATTTTCTTTTAATAACAGCACAAACCTTGCCTCTTGATTAACTCTTGAAAAAAAAAATACATTGTTCATTGTTTATTTTGAAGACCATCTTTATCAGACATTACCATAAGTGCTCCGATCTTCTCCTGAGCATGTTTCCAAGTGTTTTTAGGCTAACAACTCTCATTTTGTTCTAACTGATGTAACAACGGGTGGCTCCCGGGTCGTTTTCATGTTTTGCCACTCCAGTTCGTTCACCCAGGGTATGCAGTCTATTCAGTGAAAAATCATTTTCCGCGAAATTGAAAGCCTCACAGCGTTTAGCCTCTTGTATGGCATTGACGACGTCTGCCTTGTCAGTACCCACACACAAAAAATCAGTCAGGGTTAGCGCTTCGACGCCAAGAACATATTGCTGGGTTTGGGCGGTTGGGGTGGGGGAGGAAGAGGGGGGTGGGTGTTAGACTATATGTTACACATTTTATATTCGGAAAGGGGGTGGGGGAGGAGTTAGACAATACCTTACACATTTTCTAGGTGGAAAAGGAGTGATAGGGACTTTTTTCTTGACTCACCCAATCTCGGGGATTCCAGGATTTGCCGGCGAGTACCCATAGAAACTCTTATATCATATGGAGGTTACGGTTAGGGTTAGAGTTAATCTCTGCTCATTTCACACCGTCACACCTGTATACTATCGGACTTTCCCCGGGGACTCCCCGGCAACTCTGAGTTCCAAAGATAAAATGAATTTAAAAAAAAACAGAACCAGAAGGGCTCAGTGTACTTATCCTAGTGTAAAAGAATAATAATTAGAACACTGTACTGAATTACAAATACATAAAATATACTACATAGCTGAAATAACCATCATCATCATGTAGCAAGTCTTGTGCAGAACCTTGCTCACTATCTGCCTGAAACAGACTCGGTCTCTCGTCAACTCTTCCACCTCGTGCACGTTCATATCCAATAAGTCATTTATTTACTGTGCCCATCTTCCTGTTGGTCGGCTCCTGCCTCTTATTCCTGGTACCATGCTTTGCGCTATTATTTTTTTTTCTAACCCTTCTTGGCGTTTGATGTGACCACAATATTTCAGTTTATCTGATATAATACGAAAATAAAAAAATACTTTGAGGAGAATTTGTGTGTGTGGAATAAGGGTAAAAGAAAATTAGTAACCATGGAAATTAGATGTCTGAGAAGAGCTGTAGGAGTGACCATAAGAGATAAGATCAGGAATGAAATCATAAGAGAAAAGTCGGCACAGAACCAATTCTAAATTACATACGAAGACAGCAAGTGAAATGGTTTGCCCACTTAGAGAGAATGCCTTATGATGCCATACCATACAAAGAATACATGGAAAGAGAAGAAGGACGTAGAGCACGAGGTAGACCAAGAACAAGATGGAAGGATAACATCAGAGACACTCTACAACAGCACGATGTGCCTATGGTCGAGACGGCCAGAAGAGCTAGAAACAGAACCTTATATCTCTCTCGACACCCACAGCGGTAAAAGAGGAAGTGAAGAAGAAGAAGAAGAAGAAGAAGGAATAATGGTACAGCTTAGCCCTTTGCTACAGTTGTTTATTTAATTAGGTATTTTTAAAAAATTTGTTGGGGGGGGGGGGGGGGTCCTTAAGGGATCTGAACCCCCAGGTTCTGATGCCTATGGTCAGGGGGCAGCATCGTATTTAGTGCGCTTATAAAGTAAAGATAAAAGTGAAAGATCGACTGGATTGCCTTGGATTTTATCTCTTATGACTCTCTTCGCAGAACAGCTAGCTTCCTGCCTAGAGTGTCACACAGAGCACGACCTACGTAACTCTGGCGACGATCCCCAGGGGTCTCCGTAAAAATTGAACTCGTGAACTAAACAGCGCTGCTGTAAAACGAACCCACGTCCTTCAGAGCGCGAGGAGGCAAACGTCTTGCCCACTTCGCCATGGAGACTCCCCTCTAGTGCACTTGTTTGTCCCGATGGTGGTGCGTGATCCATCCCACAGGACTGTCAGGATGTCATTTTTCTCGGATCTTTCTGCTGCTTCTGCTGCAACAGCAGCAAGTAATATTGCCACAACCACAAAAATCGCCACTACAAATCGCCAATAAGCAATATCCTACTCCTGTGCCGTGCCGATACATTTAGAGGGTCATTCTTGCCATCTCATTCGATTATCAAAATCACGGATCATGTCAGTGTTCTTGTTGTTGTCCCATCTACGTGTCTAATTCATCCAAGTATTTATCTCTTTGCCTTTCCCTTCATCCTTTTCCGTCAGTCTTACCGGCTATAACAAGCTCTCGAGTTATTCCTTCTCAAAATGTGTCCGACAAACACTGACTTTCTGCTTATAATTTCTCCAAAGTAGGTAAGTAAATTTTACCCCACCAGGATATCACACAAGCGATAAACACTCGGTGACACAAAGTGCCACCATACGGATGAGGATCACCATTGGAGAGGTCCTGGAAACACAGTTCAGCCGTTAGGCTATATTTCAGGCCCGGCTATTTTTAGGGTTACCGGGAAACTCCTGGGTGTAGCTTTAAATAGCTAAAAATTGCACCCCAAATAAGGACGGCTGCTAATGAGCAAATATATATTGCTCCAAACCGTTTACGACCTTCCTCACTCCAGAAAACTGCCTTTTTTAGTGTGCTTTCATAGCGGCATCCGTGGCTAAGGCGTTGCGAGTCTGACTCGTAATTCAACGTACCGCGATCGAAACCTGCATGGGCTGCGTGGATTTTTATCGTGGTATGGGACATCGCAGGTCGACCCAGCCTCAAATGGGTACCAGGATGGGCTGTCCTGGGAAAGTAAAGACGGCCGGCGTAATGCTGACCACATTACCCACCGAGTGCCGATTGGTGTGTAAAAATATGGGTGCTCTTCCCATATGCCCGATGCGCCTAAGGGCGTGTAAAGGGATCTTTACTTTTTTTTTTTTTTTTACTTTTATAGCATGATATTCTTGACATTCTTCTAAAGAAATATAGCCATAGCTACCATTGAGAGTAAATTTGTTCCAGACTGTGCTTTTTGTCCATGCCCCACATGCTTTAAAACCACAGATAGCATTTTAACACTCATATCCTCGCCTGAGTTGCCAGATTTTTTTAACATTCTCATGCCAAATTTAAAATGTACCAGAAGACATCATTCGCTGGTTGCTATTCACGAGGAGAATCCTATCACACAATAAGATAAATCTAAAATTATTATTACCGTCCTATTATGGGTCACAATTTTTCGTTATTTTAAAATCCCACCCTGTGTTTGACTGAAAGAGTTAGACTGTTTTTGCCAGAACGATACATGTTCTTATTTCTGAAAGACATCACCACAACTGAAAACAATCATTTTTTGTTTTTCTAAATTCTACAGAGAATCTCCCAGATCCTGCACGTTACAGCTTCAGCAGCGACCACACAGAACTTCACATCACACAGCCAAACAAAACTACGGACACAGCCAGCTTCCAGTGTAACGTGTCCAACAGCGAGGGGTATACATTTTATGACGGCTACCTCAAAGTTTTAGGTATGATGATTTTGAAGCCCAAGCCTCTAGCACCTTTATTACAAATCGTGGTGATTATTCTGCTTACTGCTTAGAGGAGCAGTCTTAGAGAGTGTGCTACCAACACAAGAGACTGAGTTTGTTGAACATCCATTGCAACCAACCTTCACTGATTCACCTGATTTATCGAATATTTTTAATATAATTCTTGTCATCTACGAGGGGAAGTCAAAAAGTAAGCCACAAATGGTTGTAGGATGGCAGGTAAATTTAGGTTGTTTCTAATGGTGCCAGCAACATCGAACTTTATGCCTTCGTTCGTTAGGTAGTGCTAGGTCTTGCATGCGCATTCGCAACACAGACACAAAATGGCGACTGTACTTACAGAGTATACCCTCAAAGGCAAAAAGGGCTGCCTGCAAAGGACATTCATAAGGAAATGCTTCCTGTTTATGCTGACAAATGTTTATCCCGTAAAGCGTTGCATAGCATCACTACCAGGCCGAATCAAAGCCTACTTCAATGCAATGGAAACATCCTTTTCGCTTTGTGTTCAAAAATTCAAAGTTACGCCATCAGCAGGGAAGGTTAGGCTGACAGTGTTTTGGGATTGTCAAGCAGCACTTTTATTCAATTAAAAAAAAAAAAAAAACACAATAAAATAAAAGGATGACAATGTTAATGCTAATTCATACTGTAAGCTTCTATCGATACTTCATGATGTAATTCGAAGAAAATGTCCAGGCTTGCTGACTAGAGGTGTACTGCTCTTTCATGACAATTCCAGACCACATACGGCTGTGTTAACTCAAGAAAAAAAATTAACCATCCGGGTGAGGGGGGGGGGGGAAGACACTAATGGAACATTCACCTTACATCCGCGACTTAGCCCCTAGCGATTTCCACAAATTTGTTTTCCTCTTTTGTATCCAACGAGAACCCACCTTGGCGAGCGACATTTCGCAAATGACGCAGAAATTGAATGGGAAGTGAAAATGTAGTTTAGAAAAGATAGCATGCAGTTCTATGCAGCAGGTTTGGGATGACTCATAAAACGATTGGACAAGTCCATCAATGTTGGTCCACACTGTGTTGAAAAATAAAGAGACAGTGGGATAGTATATGTGTACAAATAATGGGTTTTCAAGTTGTTATCGTCTTTATTTTATCTTTTTTTTTTTTTTTAACAACGATTTCTGACATAATTATTGACTTCTCATCCTGTGTTGTCCTCAAGACGCTTTTCCACATAACTGTATCCTGCATCTAGCTGTTCTGTATTGCTCCAAGTTTTTGCCAGTTTGTTGTTTTATTTCCATTACTTTTAAAACAGCCCCCCCCCCCCCCCCCTCTTTTTTTTTCCCCTCCAGAATTGCAGTCTGTAGACTTAACACCCCAAGGATAAGACTTAAATCGCTACACATTCTGGAAAGCCCGTTTAAGCGTAAAGCCATATCGTGGCACCACTAAACAGTTGCGAAGTAAACTGTAGACAAGTGTGGCTTGGGCGAGGACCAATTCTGGACTATTTGCTCACAGCCATAATAGTGATATGATAGTTGACGATGTAGAATGATTGCTCACAGCTATAATAGTGATATGATAGTTGACGATGTAGAATGATTGCTCACAGCTATAATAGTCATATGATAGTTGACGATGTAGAATGATTGCTCACAGCTATAATAGTGATATGATAGTTGACGACGTAGAATGATTGCTCACAGCTATAATAGTGATATGATAGTTGACGATGTAGAATGATTGCTCACAGCTATAATAGTGATATGATAGTTGACGATGTAGAATGATTGTTCACAGATATAATAGTGATATGATAGTTGACGATGTAGAATGATTGCTCACAGCTGTAATGGTGATATGATAGTTGACGATGTAGAATGATTGCTCACAGCTATAATGGTGATATGATAGTTGACGAGGTAGAATGATTGCTCACAGCTATAATAGTGATATGATAGTTGACGATGTAGAATGATTGCTCACAGCTATAATAGTGAAATGATAGTTGACGATGTAGAATGATTGCTCACACCTATAATGGTGATATGATAGTTGACTAGGTAGAATGATTGCTCACAGCTATAATAGTGATATGATAGTTGACGATGTAGAATGATTGCTAACAGCTGTAATGGTGATATGATAGTTGACGATGTAGAATGATTGCTCACAGCTATAATAGTGATATGATAGTTGACGATGTAGAATGATTGCTCACAGCTATAATAGTGATATGATAGTTGACGATGTAGAATGATTGCTCACAGCTATAATAGTGATATGATAGTTGACGATGTAGAATGATTGCTCACAGCTATAATAGCGATATGATAGTTGACGATGTAGAATGATTGCTCACAGCTATAATAGTGATATGATAGTTGACGATGTAGAATGATTGCTCACACCTATAATGGTGATATGATAGTTGACTATGTAGAATGATTGCTCACAGCTATAATAGTGATATGATAGTTGAGGATGTAGAATGATTGCTCACAGCTATAATAGTGATATGATAGTTGACGATGTAGAATGATTGCTAACAGCTGTAATGGTGATATGATAGTTGACGATGTAGAATGATTGCTCACAGCTGTAATGATGATATAATAGTTGGCGACGTAGAATGTTTGCTCACAGCTGTAATGATGATATGATAGTTGACGATGTAGAATGATTGCTCACAGCTGTAATGCTGATAGTTGACGCGTAGGTTGTTTGCTCACAGCTGTAATGCTGGTAGTTGACGACGTAGGTTGTTTGCCCACAGCTGTAATGCTAGTAGTTGACGACGTAGGTTGTTTGCCCACAGCTGTAATGCTAGTAGTTGACGACGTAGCTTGTTTGCCCACAGCTGTAATGCTAGTAGTTGACGACGTAGGTTGTTTGCCCACAGCTGTAATGCTAGTAGTTGACGACGTAGCTTGTTTTCCCACAGCTGTAATGCTAGTAGTTGACGACGTAGGTTGTTTGCCCACAGCTGTAATGCTAGTAGTTGACGACGTAGGTTGTTTGCCCACAGCTGTAATGCTAGTAGTTGACGACGTAGCTTGTTTGCTCACAGCTGTAATGCTGACAATTGACGACGTAGGTTGTTTGCTCTCAGCTGCAATGCTATTAGTTGACAACGTTGGATTTTTGCTCACAACACTTCAAAGCATTCGAACTCCGTAGCCTCGGCGACGATCACAGTGACCTCTGTAAAAATTGTCTTTGCGAACTGAAGGGCGCAGCAGCGGAGCGAACCCACGACCTCCAGAGCGCTTGACCACTTCGCCACGGAGACCCCCAGAATAGCCCTATATGCCCAATTCTTGAAAGGCATGGACAAGGGTCCTTTACTTTTGCTTTACATTGAAGAAAGGGGTGGGGAGGGGGGAAGGACGGTGCCTCTAATGACCCCCTGATAATTTGTCTTCCATTAAAGAGTCCATCAAGATCACCAAGCACCCAGAGTCGGTCAATCAGATCTATAGGAATGAAGCCATAGACATCAGTGTTCAAGCAACAGGAGACAGCTGCTGCACCATGAGCCAAACCTGGTCCCACAACGGTGTCCGATTAAGTCCAGCAGAACTTGAGAGAATGCCTTTCAGGTAATAATTCATTACATCAAGAACATTTTCTGCTGTTCATAAGACGACCCTGATGGAGCCAAACACTTGACAATACAAGCGTGGATGTTTATCATGGTATGTAGCGACGCAGGTCGACCTAGTCTAAAATGGGTACCAGGATGAATGTCCTGGGGAGGTAAAGATGGCCGGCGTAATGCTGACCACATTACCCACCTAGTGCAAATTTGTCTTTAAAAATGTGGGTGCTCTTCCCATGTACCCGATACGTCTAAAGAGGTGAAAAAGAGATCTTTACTTTTTTACTTTTACTGATATCTTGGTAAATTATACGCATCGAGGTTCAAATATCGCGCGACTCTCATACTAATTTTTTTTAATGAATTTGGCTCCCAGGTCGACCCGGTCTTAAATGGGTGCTAGGTAAAAGTCTTGGGTAGTAAACGCATCCAGCTTTATGTTGAACCAATCCGCTTCCTGCAACAATTTAAAAAAAAAATTACTTTTATTTAAAACCACACATACGACTTTCTCATCACAGGAAAGAGGAGAATGGCTCTCTTTGGTTTGACTCAAGAAACCTTTCCTACGATATTCTGAACGCATGGAGCGGGCGGTACCAGTGTAATTTTTCTACAGCCTACGACTTTCGGACATTTGAGTTTACAATTGTAGTCAAAGGTGTGTATCAAAGCAATGTTTCCTTGTGGTGAATTTGAACAGAGAAGACACAAACAATAGATTGCACAAGGATTCACTTTTTTGCTTTATTTATGTAATTGTTACTATAGTATGCACCTAACGAGATACAGTGAAATATGCCGGGCAATAAATTGTGCAATACATTGTTTGTCTCTTCTTTGTTCAAAGGTGTGTAAATATTTTTGCCACTACTTAAAAATCGCTAAGTGTTGAATCCGTGTTTTGAGAAAATTTCGTCTGAACCTTGAAATGTCTTTAAAAAAACGAAAGGAATATTGTTGAGTTGAGTTGAGTTGAGTAAAAAAACTGACATCACATCATTATGTGCATTCCCATGCATGCTCCGTCCTCATCTTCAACAGCCAACGCAGAGTTCCAACACTGGTGGTACCGGTAAAAATCTGGTTATGTGTCCGTCTTGCCTTTTCTCTGAGTGTAGTGAGCCGGCTAGACCGTCTGGTTACACCAAGATGTCTCATTCTCTCCAGGCCATAATAATCTTCTTTCTCTACTGATTCCGTTGCTTGTTCCCAAAAGACCATGACCTCATCTGCCTTGTCATGTATCAGTTCACCACCCAATGGTGCAGATCCAGCCAATCTGTCTGCCTGTTCATTACCCACCACGCCGGCATGGCCTGGAGCAAATATCCCAAAGAATATTGTATAGTTGCTTGAAAAGCAATAATTCAATCTTTAACCTTTTTGGAGAACTAATTCATTCCTATGATGCAGCAACTACCCTAAAGTACCTCTACCGACTTTAATTCACAGATTTTGAACTGAAATGCTACAGGGAAATCCTTAACATACCGTGGACTGAGATAAGGAAACAACACCGAAACACACCATCTGAACATCGAGAAAAATGGGTTCACCCTGTCTTATTCTTAATGGTAACCTGGACTGAATGATGGAGTGTGCAGTTTCCGGAAAATGATGCAGAGGCAGACCTTTGCGAATGTGGATAAAAGATATTGAAGATGTACTGACTGTGAAAGCACGCAGGGTTGGAGAAATGGCTAAAGAAGAAGAGACTTTTACGCGCGCCGTTAAAAGAGTGAAATTTTGAAAAATCCCTGCTGATTGATATTAACATAACATAACCCTTGATCCATTAAGGTCGTGGAGGTGTATTGATAGAGGCACTTGTACATAACACCCGCCATCTTTCTCTATCTTTTGAGAATATTTTTGTGTATGATAAGTTTTGATGTTGTCATGACAGGTTCTTTTTTGGCCTCCTCTTTTTCGACTACCCCAATTTTCCTTGAAGTGCAATCGAATCATGTCTCACTAAACCAGCTTGGGACGTTTCACCACTGCCAATAAAGGCTCCTGAGGTCCCGCAAATCTATATATTTTGTCTGTAACATATTTATTAGTTTTGTGTTCTAAATAACCAGTTCATAAAATGCTTCTCTAGCATTCACATTCGAAAGCCTGAATCTTCCTTTCCATTCCCACAACTCTCACATCCGTATACGAAAATAGACAACACCAGTGATTTTTAAAAACTGACCTTTACTGCGATACTGATTTTGCTCTTCCCCATCGTATTCAGCTGGGACATCGCGGCTGTTGCCATATCAAGTCTTCTCTTGATCTCTTTGGTACAGCTGCCATCGATGCATATGCGGGAGCCAAGATATTTAATGGTTTCAACTTCTAGTTTTTTTACCCCCTTTTATCTGTATTTTGGTGGTAATTGATAACAATTGATTGATAATAATGTTTTATGATGAGCTCAAATTAGTTGCACGGGGAGTGATCGTTAACTCGAGATAGCTGCTTTCATCATCATCAGGTGCCTTGTCGACTGGCGTGGGTCATCATGCCTCTCCATAATCCACGATCTCCTGCAGCATGTATCAGTTCGTGTGCCGTGCCATGCAACAAGACTGTCAAGAATCTTCTCTCGTTGTCCTCCTCGTTGTCTTTCATAGTAATACTATTTTCTGTTTATCATTCACAGAAGATGCACCTGCTACTGAGTCACTGGTGGCAGCTGAAGGAGGGTTTGAACTTTGGTGGGTTATAATTGCATGTGGAGTTCTGTTGATGGTCATCGTCATAGCCATCATAGTCGTTGTGGCAAAGAGACACTACCCCGGAGAAACGTATCCATGTAAGTATTTCTTTGGGAAGGGGGGGGGTGGGTGGGTTTTTATTACCTGTCTGCCTACCTGTCTGCCTACCTGTCTGCCTACCTGTCTGCCTACCTGTCTGCCTACCTGTCTGCCTACCTGTCTGCCTACCTGTCTGCCTACCTGTCTGCCTACCTGTCTGCCTACCTGTCTGCCTACCTGTAAAAATAAAAGTTAAATTTCTTTTTACAATCAGCCACAGGGGTGTAGCAGCTAGTCGCTCGCCTGCGGATGGGAACGTCGTGTGTGCGGGTTCTGACGGAGCCACATTTCTTTCTTTAAAAACAGATTTGGTTCCCGGGTCGACTCAGCCTTAAGTGGGTACTATGTGTAGTCATATAAAGTAAAGGCGGCCGGCGCGATGTTGACTAAATCACCCACTTAGTGCCGATTAATCTAAAAAGTATAGGTGTAGCCCTATGTGCCCAGTTCGCCTGAAGTCGTGGAAAAGTATCTCTTTTTTTTCAATAATACCTTACTGGGCAAGAGGTAGATGAATCGATGAGTTTGTCACCTGCGGACTGCTACCTAATAGTTTACCATACCATCCTGAGGTTAGAAAATGTCAATCCACACGGCAGACCACCAAAGAAAAGATTCCAGATACCCCCTTCAGCCTCCAAAGGAAATGGAACGGAAGGCCAAACGGTTACAAGGCTGGGCTCTTAAGCATGAGACCCAGGTTCGAATCCTAGGTAAGGCTAGGAATTTTGTGTGTCGTGGTCAAAATAAAAAGTGGTGGCTACAGCACTAGCCATGCGACTGTAAATCCTCAGGCTCAAAGACCCCCTGCCTACACCGCAAAAAAAAAAAAAAGTGGTTTCATAAAGGCAGTAATTAGCTTTTTTAACCTCCAAAAAAGTTATAACTAGACCATCTGTTACGGCTACAGCAGCTAAGTGTAACATGCAGTCATTTATGGGTAAAGACGGGACATTATATGTCTCCTATTGTTATAGACCGTTTGACACTGGGTGGGACATTGGTGACCGGGTCGCCCATCGGTAGGGGCAGTAAGTGGGTGTGTCTCATTTGATCGCATCAAAATTGCAATAGTTCTTTTCAGGACTCTTGGCGACGTGCAATGCTAAGACACTTTCTATGGCGCACATAACCTAGTCACAGTTATAACCGAAAGCTCCACCTTTCGGGGATGATAGTCAAACGTGATTAATTTTTTTCTGGGACCAAAGCAATGGAACTGGGTGGGTGTTGTCAAGATCACTCAGGCCGCCATCACTTCCTTAGATTTACTTTGTACTGGGTAGACTTGAGGCTTCAGAGATGTGGTTTTACAGAAAAATGCTTAAAATACCCTGGAAAGCCAAAAAGAGCAACCAAGAGGTTTAGAAAAAGGCGGGAGACCGAAGACAACTTATCACAGACATCAGAAGGAGAGAGTCATCATTTTTCGGCCATGTTATGAGAAAAAGGAAAAAAGAACATGTTGTGACCACTGGAAAGATTTGTGGAAGTAGAGATAGAGGAAGACAACGAGAAAAGATTCTTGACAGTCTTGTTGCACGAACTGATACATGCTGCAGGAGATCGTGGATTATGGAGAGGCATGATCGCCAACGCCTGTCAGCAAGGCACCTCATGATGA